AAGTGGTTGTAATCAATATATTTGGTGAAATATTGCAATAATTGACGAGAATTTAAACCATTTGCCTCATGTCACTCTAACTTCAAGATTAGGAGTGTGAATAGTTCCTTGACAAACTGATATTTTGCACAAGATGATACAACAGAATGGCCCTATTCCATCATGATTAAGTGAAACAAAATGCTAATCAGAAGTTTTGTACAGTAGTGTTTTTAGAATCCAAATGTATCTTATTATCCAAATTTGTAATATTTGAATGGGTTAATCTTGATTAGTTACATCAGGTCTTAAGTAATTAACTAGATTCAATTATTCTGAATATTTCTACACGTAGGGAGTTAACCCTAGATTCTTCACAATATCCTACTGTTGGGGACGTTAGACCCTCAAACTCACTTGGAAAAGGACCTAATCTTGTAATTTTATTAAGAAAATTTGAATTTCTTTGTTTTCGCACCAAAAACACTCTTCTCACCTTCATGTCGTATTTCCCACTTGGGAGAATCTTAAATGTTATTGATCCGTTGTGTCTTGTAGTATGTTGCTTTATAACTCTCCCCAAGGACGGTTTTGTTCTGTATATATACGTTTTGATTTGTGTCTGTTGTTATCGCTCGTGCTTCTGGCTTTTGAGGAATATACTTCCCCATTTCAAGCTTGGACTTCTTCCTCTAGTTAGCTGGGCAGGGACGCTTCGATTAGCTAGCTTATTGTTCTTTGGTCACTGAGTGCTTTGTTCAGTTCACAGATGAAGTGAACTCGTAACGGCTTCAAACCTAGCACCTACCCACTTTGTAAATAATTATTCAGTCGGTTACTCTAGTGACTGGGATAAAAATACAATCTTTTGAATTCACTGATGTTTGTAACTGTTTACTGCTTCCTTACGCCTGTTACTCCTAGTGAAGGAGCATAGGTCGCTCACCAGCATTCTCCATCCAACCCTGTCCTGGGCAATCCTTTCCAGCTCTTTCCAGTTCTTATTCATCCTTTTCATATCCGCTTCTATTTCCCGACGTAATGTGTTCTTTGGCTTTCCTCTTTTCCGCCTTCCTTCAGGATTCCAAGTTAGCGCTTGCCTCGTAATGCAGTTTGATGATTTCCTCAATGTATGTCCTATCCATTTCCATCGTCTTTTCCTAATTTCCTCTTCAGCTGGAATCCCACAAAAGGCTGTTGCTGATGGTATCCGGCCAATGGATGTTGAGTATCTTGCGTAGACAGCTATTGATAAATACCTGTACCTTCTTGATGGTGGTTGTTGTAGTTCTCCAAGTTTCAGCTCCGCACAATAGAACTGCCTTGACGTTCGTATTGAAGATTCTGACTTTGATATTGGTTGAAAGTTGTTTTGAGTCCCATATGTTCTTTAATTGAAGGGATGCGACCCTTGCTTTGCCAAACTGTTTACTGACATGTTTAATTTCATACATATATGGTAAAAACGATTTATAGCTAGAAGTTTGACTCTGCTCTTTCACTAAATGTTAGAAATAGATTCACTGAGACTTCTGTATTTATTCAATATACAGTTATAGATTTTCTTAACTGGACCTCGATTTCAAAGCAGACGCTGGTGTTTAAAACTTAAATCTTTTCCCAGTACTTAGATTGATATTAATAAATTAGTTTGATGATGATTCCTAAGTTTCTGTAATTTATAGTTGTAAAATATTCACAGTAATAAACATAGATTTAAATCAGTAGTACTAATTTATATATTTAGGTATTATATTCATATAACACATTTAACGGTAACCAGAATTATCAACACTAGAAAATAATGACATAAAACAAAATAATAATTAACACAAACATTCTATGATACTCAATATCTGACAAGTAAACAGAAAACACATTAAAATTTATCATTTTCGTTACCATTTGAAATTTTCTTTTACTACTGGTTGTCAAGATACACTTAGTTAATAAAGTATTGTTATAGTTTTTCATATGTAAATTGAAGAAGAAAAAATAATCAATAAGATTCTTACGAGGCCAATAAACTGATTTTAATAATAATTTCTTTATCATATTTTTGCCTAATGATAAACATGAAGATGAACAAAATTTTTGTACACATATACATGTATATATTGATTAGTTTAAAATTGAACAATCCAGACCAGAATAGTTGTGTAAATTTGAACCAATCAGTGATTCTTGTAAATTGAATGAAATTTCCCTATTTTTTTAATTTTAAATTTATCATAAATTAATAATAAAAGTGTACATTACAAATTACAATACATTGGTTTTATTATATTTATTTTGAATAATATACAATATTTTTCAAAAAAAAAATAATGACTTCCAAATCAATTATGGATGTAGTTAGAGATTTAAGACGAGCATCGAATTTTCGTAGAACATCAGTATTTAATGAAGATGTATGTAATAATAATTTTTTGTTTGAATTGATTAAAAGATTGATTTTATAATTGAGCTTATTCTGAAATTTATTTTAATTATTGTTTAAAGCATTTAATCCCTTTTATAAATTTTAATAGAACAAAGAATGAGAAAACGGAGTTGATCTGAAAAAATGTAATGTATTTACGCGATACATTTCGAACAATCTGATCGCACATATATTTGTCAGGGCATTTTATGTGAAAGTTAATAAAGGTCAATTAAATGGAAGTTTAAGTAAAAAAAGGTAACAATGGGGTGAGAAACAATTTGACATCGTATAGAGAGAATAAGAAATTGTCGCGTTATCATAGGCCATAGAATGACTTAAGGATTTTCAAGATAAATTCAAGGTTAGTAATCCTTAAGTCATACTATGGAGCAAATACACCACATTTTTCAGATCAACTACGTCGTCTCATTGTTTTATCTAAATTATTGTTCATTTTATAAGCTTATCTACTATGTGGTGGTTAGAACTATTTCTTATTTTTGAAAAAGGACTAATAATTGAACTTGGATAAAAGATTGGTATAAGGTTGAATAATTGTTTGAGCAACAAAAGTCTGAAATTTTACTCCTTAGCTTCAATGTATAGTTTTCTGAAGTTTATTTCTTCATTTATGCTTTTTTTAATTATGCCTAATTCATCTTGAAACATTTGAAGATAATAAAGAATATATGTATTGATTAAAAGTATGCATCATAAATATTGTGGTTCACTATTCAAAAACTCATTCTTAATAGGGTAGCATTAAAACGAAGTCAGTTGATGATTAGTCTATCTCCTTTTATCTATTAGCCTGGAGATAATTTCAATGAGTTTATTAATTAACAGTTAGTTCAGTTCTGTAAATTTTCGAGTATCATGTTTTTAATTATGAAAACTAAAGATGATCATTGTTTTAATGTTTACAGTCAACTTAAACTATTGAAATATAATTAACATCAAACTATTTTCCCGTTGTAAATTAATCAGTATATTTGTAATATTAAAATGAGTAGAAAAAATTGAGTTTTCTGACGTTTCATGACTCAGTGTAAACCACTTCTTCAGAGAATAAATAACCAAATCAAAATTAGTCCAAGGTTAAACAGTACTATTTAAACTTGAACTAATTTTGATTTGGTCATTTATCCTCTGAAGAAGTGGTTTACACTGAGTCACGAAACGTCAGAAAACCTAATTTTTTCGACTTATTGCAATATTACAAATATGTTGATTAATTTATAACAATCTACCCAATGCTCAAGTTATTTGAAATTCTCAAGTCAAATCTTGGTAATGATATCTACTTTCATGTTGGTTATTTTTTTGAAAAAAACGTTTTCTATTTCGTTATATTAGAAATAAATTAATTACAAATTAGTGGCGAGTGTTGACAATGGTATTTTATTATGAGAAATCTTATAGATTCGTTGTTAAGCCTTTAAATATGTAATGGATTGTTTTTTAAACTATTCTCTATTAAATAACTAATGTATTTAGCATTAGTGAACGGATGAACTGACGAATACTAATGGTTTAATAAAATGAAGTCTAACCATAACTGTTGATGTTTCATTTCATTTTTGTTAGAATAATGTTGAAATAAAATCATGAAATTTACATTTAAAAATAGTTTATTTTTTGAATGATATATTCAGGATTTAAGTTACCTGATGAACTGTCGTAGATCGTAAAAAAAATTGAATCTGAAGTTTGGTTCTAAATGATAATCTAAAAAAAATCTTTCATTTAAATTAAGATCATGAAGCGATCAATGTAAGACCACCATTGAAAACCTGAAAGAACTAGATGACCATTCCGTCCTAATATACGACTCCTCAGCAGTGTACTTCTACGGTCATCAACGCAGGACTCAAAATCGGGACCATCAGTCTCACGCGTGAACGCTTGACCTCTAAACCATTGATCCGGTGTTAATGTTAAACTTCAACCAACCCACAATATCGTGCAATCATCTTCCATTTAATTGTTTCTTAATGTCAACGCATTAGAAAGACTTAAAAACGTTTAGGTTTTGTGTATTTGGTTCTATTCGTTGTGTTTATACAAATGAAGAATAAAAAGATTACAAGAATTAAATAATGCTACCTTATTTCAAGGCTACCGTCGTCAGTTACTAGTTGCCTAGAATTACAAATAGCAAACGTTTTGCATTCTTTATCTGATAAAATTGTGATGAATAATGTAAATGGTAAGAAAAGCTATCAGAACAATGAAATACTAATTATGGTGTAATATCTAATCATCGGTGAATAAGAATAAAATTATGTAAAGTTGACAATACAATTTATTATTGTACAAAAATTAATATAATTTATACGAGTTTAATACATACAATGTTGAGAGATGGTGGAGAAGATTTGTAGCTCAGGTGGATGATTTAGATGAAGTTTTGTTCTCTGAGCTGGATAATTTGGTCTTGGAAGAATTCTTCTACCTGAAGTTTGTGCTGATGAAAGTTCCACGACCAAACCATACAGGTCAGAGAACAAAACTCCATCAAAAAACGTACGATGTTAATTCCTTTATTGTACTTCATTTTATTAAATTAATCTTGTTTCCTCTATTTTTTCTTCAGTTTTTAATAACACGTTTGCCTGAGAAAATCATGCTGCAAATTTTTTCGCATTTAAGTCATCCAGAATTGTGTAATATTGCGCGTGTTTGCAAAATGTGGCGTCGATTAGCATATGATCATTCATTGTGGCAGTCACTTAATTTACGACCTGAATATGGTGGAATATTTGTGAGTGAATTTTTAAAGTGATTTCGATGATAACTATGAATCGAATAACCAGTGAAATTATCGACGAGACTATAATTTTGAACGAAGCAATCAGGCATAAGATAACAGATTTCGGATATTAACGCGAAGTTCACTCGTCCATTCGGCTAAATAGTTTTGATATTTTAGCTGATGTCAGTTCGTAATAAAAAATCTAAATCAAATTCCTGACCTTAACCATCAACTTTAAATCACAATACTTATCCTTCACACTGATTTTTAATCCTCACTTAGCCTTAGCCAGTAGGTGGACATTCTCAAGGCCACTTTAGCGTCGCTGAAAGGTCATCCATAAATTATAGTCTCGCCAAATTATTTAGTCAAACTAAAGTATATATTATTATGGTTAATTACTTATGTTATACTGGAATATTTCTAAGTTGTGTGAGATAAAACGTGGTCTCCAATGAAATATATGTAGAGATTGGCTAAGTATTCTATACCTGTAGAATCTTGTATGTTGAAGCATTTTTGTAAGTCAAATTGATGAAATAAGGTAACGATGAGTGAACTTAGTTAAATGGATTGAATTTATACGTTCTTCAAGTTTAGAAAGCCTTATGCTTTTACTTGCCCATAATTTAACAACAGAAAGGTCTTCTGCAATGTTATAGTATTTATTTTTATGAATAAGTAGAAAATCATGTTACATAACATGATCGGTAATGGCAACAATACAGCGCAGCATCGATTAAAACCACACGATCTCCTATTGAATGTACGATAATGCTTGTGCGGAAATAGAGGTAATGATAAGTGTATTTGCGAAGCCTAACTGAGTTGTGTCAACAAAATTACATTTTATACATAATTTATTTAATTAAAATACAAATAAATAAAAAATGCATTTTACTAATGATAATATGATATTGATAATTCGCAATAAGGTAGATCATTTGAAATGGACTTGGATGAATTCTCGTTTCGTTGTTTCACAATCAAATTCATTCACGTTAAAATAAAATAGCTTGAACTAAAAGGCTTTCGTTGATTAGGTTATTTCCAAGTGACTCATGATATGCTAGATCAAACAATCAGTAACATTTAACTCCTTTCAATAATTATCAAGTTAATTACATTTTTGATAAATGTAATTTCTTTAACTTTTTAATTAATATAGTAAAGTAAAATATACCGCTTGTAAAGTGTAGTGTTTGTCAGCTAATTACTGACTAAATCAAAATAGTTCATTTTGAACATATGAATTTATCAATCTCAACGTTAAGGCTTTGATGAATACGCTAAAGTATGTATAATTAAATAGTGTAAAACTATTAAATTGTATCTTACTATCAACAATAACAAATATGAACAGTCAATTACAATTTGCTTACAGACATATTTAACAACATATGTTGTTAGGTGCTAATTAAACAGATAAGGTAATTCTTATTGACATATATCTTAAAACCCAATAAAATGAACATTTGTTTATTTCAGACATTGTTTGAAAAACAAAACAGCTACATTTTAACGTTATCTGACCATGGTTAGAATCAAAACGAATTTTCTTCAGATTTCTCCTTCGTCCTAATATATGCAAAGAATACAATCTAAAATATTCCAATAGTTAAATGTAATTAGGAGAAAAGTATTTACTTAAACAATATGTTTCCCAGGTATTTATAGGGAATAGTCTGAATTCCTTTTATTCCAACTTCAATCTGTGCTCATCGGATTATTTTAGCACTAATTTACTCGTCATTGAGTGAATAATGATTATCATAAATGACAGTAATGAGAGCCAGCAGGTTGCCTTTTCACTGAAGTATGGATGATTTTGACCAGTTTTTTGTTTAGTCCACTCACCAGGTGTAACTTTAAACGTAACTTGATAAATACTCAAATAACTATAATCTTTCATCTCCTGGATGCTTGGTGAAATTGTGAATTAAGTTAAAGCTATATATATATCATAGTCATTAATAAAGTGAATGCAAGTTTCTGATAGGTAAAGTTCTAATTTCTGAGTTTCACGTTTGATGGAAGCCCAAAGAGATTATAATGAGAGTGCTCATTACTACCAAGCTTCTTAAAGAAAAAAACTAGCGTTATAAACATTGTTAGCTGTCGACATATTCTTTGCAGTACAAATATTAAGTTTGTAAAACAAGCAATTAATGAACAACATGAATTTGTGTTGTTGACTTGTTTGTATGTTTGTGATAACACAACTATAACTAGTTACAGTTTAAATGAGAAATTCTGGAGCAGTCAATAATATCTTTATGTAGTTGTGTGTGTAGTTGTGTATTTATCATAATTGTCTACCTCATGCAGTTGATAAATATATCTCTATAACCAACTTCTTTTAGTATAAATTATTATCCTTCGTTTAATATACAGTACACTATTCTTATCACGATGATTTTGTTTAAAACTTGAATTTTTTTCAGGTGAGATCAATTGATGAGCTATTAAATCTCATTCATCACAGATCTGGGAGTGGGTTAAGGTGTATTGAACTATCCAGCGATCTAGTCACTATACCAGTTTTAGAGGAACTCGGAAATCGATGTCCAAATCTTCGCTATTTAACTCTAGATTTTTCTAATGCTATGCAACTACATGATTTCAACGAATTGGCTTCGTTCCCTTCATCAATTAAATATTTATGTATTTGTTTAAGTGATGTGATATTTATGGAAGGTTTAATGAGAAAAATCTATTCATGTTTATCAGCGGTGGAAATTTTGCACTTAATTGGTAAGTTCCTGTTGAGCTTATTCAAAAATTAAAATGTTTTTCAGAATGTAACGAAAATTAAAACATTCATTATCATAATTTTTTTCGATAGCTCATAAATAAACATGGAAACATCTTTCCTTTATTGATTCATAGTTTTATGTTCAATGATCGTGTATGTCAACTAAGAAATCATATTCTCAGACTCAGGTATCAGCAGCTAGGTTACACCACTAATCTTGCACATCAAGTGCGATTCAAGGTCGTAGATAAAAAAATAATATGGATGATAGTGACTAAGATTTTCAATTTCTGTTTAAACATGTTACATAAATGCAAGAATAAAAGATTAGTCCGAACAGTCTGAGTTAATACTTTATACTCATAGTCTTTTATCAGTGGAAAAGCTTTTAAAGACGTGATCGCGTGATATACATAAATACCAAATGAGATGAATATTGTGTATTGCTAGTGAAAGTAAAGCGTTTTAATAAAATAGCTATTAGGTTTTTGAAGTTATTTATTTTCATACATATAAGTTTAAATTATTTCTTACTTAAATGACAACAACACAAACCAAAAGTTGGTAGTTTTAAAAAACGTCTTTCAAAGACAATTTCACTCATCACTTTCAGTAAAAGTCTAAAAATCCTTATAACTGATTCTCATTGTATAAAGGCCGATGCTCCTTCTAACAGCCAGATCAACAATTTTCATACGTACATGGAACGTCCGGACAATTTGGAAGACTGGTAGGACAAACGAAATAGCTACAAAAATGAGAAGATACAACTTGACGATGCTCGGAATGGGTATAACCCATTGTACCCAAGATGGACAGAAAAAGAAAGGTACTGGAGAGATGCTGCTTTACTCTGGTCACGAAGAAGAAAATTCTCTGCCCACACAAGGAATTGGTCTAATGTTGTCGGAAGAAGCACGTAAATCAGTTATAGGATGGGGATTTCATGGATCTAGAATCATCAAAGCATCCTTCAAAACAATGAAGGAGGGAATTACAATGAGTGTTATCCAATGTTATGCACCCACTAATGATAGCAACGACGACAATAAAAATCAGTTCTACGAGAGGCTTCAATCGATCATATCAAAGTGCCCAGGAAAGAACCTGACAATCCGGACGGGAGACCTGAACGCCAAAATCGGAATGAACAACACCAGATATGAAGATATCATGGGATGACATGGACTAGGAGAAAGAAACGAGAATAGCGAGAGATTTTCAAATCTATGTGCATTTAACAAATTACTTATGCGTGGCACAATATTTCCACACAAAGCTACATGGGTCTCACCGGATCACACTACAGAAAACCAGATCGATCATATCTGAATCACTTAACAATCCAGAAGGTCAATGGATGACGTGAGATTGAGGTGAAGAGCTGACATATCTTCAGACCACCACCTGATTGTGGTCACCAAGATGAAAGTGAAGCTAAAGAAGCAATGAACAACGGGTGAATAAAATTACGAAAGCTTAGTATAGCTTTCCTTTGAGATACTGACAAACTCAACCAATTCAAGAAGGATATGTCATCAAGATATCAAAGAAAGTTCATCTGAGCAAATATGAAAACTAGTGGCATCACGCTACTGTCACTACCAGGAAAAGTTTTCAACAGAGTGTTGCTGAACTGGATGAAAGACGCAGTAGACGCTTAACTTCGAGATCAACAGGCTGAATTCCGTAACGATCGATCGTACACAGACCAAATTGCGACACTACGGATCATCGTTGATTAATCAATTGAAAGGAACTCGTCACTATACATCAACTTCATTGCTTATGAGAAAGGATTAGACATTGTGAATAAGAGAACATTATGGAAACTCCTTTGACACTATGGAGTACCTGAGAAAATCATCAGTACCATCTGGAATTCATACGACGGATTACAGTGCCTTACCAATTAACTATAGATTGACAACCACTGAAAAGCAACTGGCAGTTATTTCATCTTAATCTGAAATTTATTAATCAGTATCTACGGTCCTACAGAGGATCATATACAAGATACGCTCTCCGCAAAATTTGAAGTCCCTTGTTTAAATCCTCACTGAGGCCATGAGTGCTCATTGTCTAGTAGTCTAAAACTAAGACGAAACAACTATCTGGTACTTGCTGCATTAAGTGGTTGTTTAAATACGGTCATTTTGTACTGTAAACTATAAGGCTCAACAGTCTCCACATAACCCTTACATTTAAAAATCTATACTTGTTTGAAAACATTTGTTCATCTTACTACAACTTTAAAGTAAAACCATTTATTCATGTCAAAAGAATTAAGCGAAAAAGATTTTATTATCCTGAATATGTTTAGGCGTTTGAGTTTTACTAAAATCAATCCTGTTGTTAATATAATGTAAAATTACGGTTAAATTAGTAGAAATTACTGTACTACATTAAAAAGCTAGTTGTCTTCTATTTATTAAATGAACTGTTTTAGTAAGTACATATGGTTTTTGTATTAAACTGAATAAAGTATGTTATACATACAGGTAATACATAAGTTTAAGTAGTGACCATTTAACAAAACAAAAAGTTCAATCTACAAAATTGACATAAAAATCGAAAAAAAAGAGAAAAAGTTTTACTTCTATGAACAAAATTTTTTGAAAGTTTAAACATTTACAAAAATGTAACTGATTCTAGTTTATTTTTCAAAAATATTCATTCTGTTATATGGTTTATTAAACAAAAACGTTGTTGTGATAGCAATAAATATCCCATTTTGTTTTACATTTGTTTACTTAATTAACAACATAGAAATTTTGAAATTGTTATTCTCTTTTTCTAGAAAGGATAAACATTCACTTTCGGTTGAAAAATTAATGAATTATACCATGTAAACATACCTATATATATATATATATATATATATATATATATATATATATATATATATATATATATATTGAAAACGTTTGAATAGTTAATGGTTGCCTACAATGAACCATAAACGTCATCAAAATAATGTACCCCGCCTTGTCGCGATGGGGTGTTGTTTACGAAATTGAAAGGACAAAAAGTGAATGTCCGGCGACTTAACTGGGTTGGTGAATATGGAGGATTTACTTAGGGGAGTTGGAAAACCCTGATTCCAAACCAATGGTGCACATGGGCTTCAGGATCCTGAGGGAACAAATGATGTATGGACCTGTTGTTGGTCACCGGCTACTATGGGATTGCATCTCCTGACGTTGCTCTACTACCTAGTGGATCAGACCTTTAGGTCGAATGCTCCGGGTGCGATCCCCTAACAAAACCACTTGCTTCGGCCTGGGCACCCGGACAGTATCACAGCTACATAAAAATGAAGCAAACTAAATAAGGAAATTTAATAAAAAATTTAATCATGGAGTTTTTCTTTTATTTATTTAAAGGAACATTTGAATTAGCTACAGAGGAAGAAGAAGAAATTTATGAAGTGAGTCAGTTGTGAGAGTAGGTTTTTTTCTAAAAGATTCTTTTCAGTCCATTCAAGTAATTTTAATCTTGGGTAAAACATCTACGCACTCTTATGTGCTAAATAATCAGTCAACAAGCAAACCAAATGTATTTTTAGAAAAAGGACAGAAAATTCAGCATTATTTAGGATCCACTGAATACGCTTAGTTTCATTTATGTTGAGACCTTGAACCCATGTTGGTAAGCAGAAGATATTTTACAGTATAAATGAGGATATATATTAGTTAAATAAATTGTTTTCATAAACTATTCCAGTTTTATGAGTTATTAAGAGAATCTTTGAAGGGTATGTAGTCAAATAAGGTCACATATTTTTTGGAGTTGATAGTAAGTGCTCTAGCAACAGTAGCTCGATGATATATTTGAGGTCATCACAATTTCAACCAATCGCTTTTAGCTTAACCAGACAACTTAAATAGAACATAGTAAAGAAAACTTAGAAATTAAAAATGAGAACTGTTTTTTTCAGTAATGGAAATTATTTATTACTGTAGAATTTAAACTTTTACATTGTAGAATTTAATTTGTCCTACAGATATTCTACTGGAACTGTAAACGAGATACTAGCGACCCTAGAGTTCATATGAAAGCTATGGTCAGAAGAAGGATAACTTGGCTTTAAACTTGATCTGTTTCTAAACATAAAAATAACAGTTTGATTAGTACAATAACTAAAGGGATTATAGTCATTAAGTGAAACACACAAACATAACGACCAGTATTGTGTGTCTAATCGAAATGAATAAAAATTATGATTCACACTAGTATAATAGGATAATAATATCTTTCAATTTACAGGCCACATGCAACAGGGATAGTATACAGACACATCAGACCATGTATTGACGTGACGGGGTCTTAAGCAACGATTTGATTTGTTAGTTATGGACATAACTAATATACACTTTGTATCGCATGAATGATAATCAAAAAAACGTCGACACTGTTGATACATACGAGTACAAACTATATACATTTTAGGCAGAAATTTTCATGTAAATCAATGTAGATTGTTGATGTGTTATTTTTTATTAAAACGCATTGTAATCGTAGAATATACTGTATGTATTGAGTAGGTGAGTAATAGTGACTACGTATTGTTTTTATTTTCCCTGTTTTACTTCTAGGTCTATATATTACATATTAAAGCTATCAAATGGTCACATATGTTTTTATCTGTCATAAGGTTAAAGCAATTGTCAACTGCTCTGTTCATCATTTTACGGAGTCTTTTAAATATTTGAAAATAATTTTTAATTTCATAACTCTTTATAAACCATTCCAGGAATCACTGTAAATAACAATGTATGAAGTAATTATTACTCTCATAAGTACACTCTACAAAAAGCTCTATTATAGCCAGTATGATTTTAGAGTAGCTTCCAGACATTCAATTAGGTTTTGTGTTGATGATTTAGTACAAGCCAGCTTGCAATGTTTAAGTGATTTGAACCAATAATCTGTTTTATATGAATCTCTCTCAGTACATAATTGTTAATTTCAAATGCAAACGACAAAATGATGCTCAGTAGCATGCTGTCTTATACATGAGGGAGTTTAATTTGTGGCGGCTTGACTTCGAGATAATTTCCTAGGTTTCGTAGGTCAACCACCCTGATAACCGTTATTAAACAAATCCCATGGTGTATGAATTCAGAAGGCGATACGAAACTCCGACTACTATATATATATATATATATATATATATATATATATATATATTTATTCATCGAGTGATATTTAAGCAACTAACATTTAAACTAGAAAGAAGAATATGTGCGCAGACTGTCATATGTAATCAAGCTTAGATCTTCATACAGACATGATGATAACAATACTAATACAAACATATAGACAAATGGAGACTGTCTGCTAAGTAAGTTAATTAAAGGGCTTGACAAAATTAACCGTAAATAAACTTAATTTTAGGAGGGGTGCTGTAAATTATGTTCAAAGTTCGTATCGAATCATTAGATTTCCTAAAGTACCGATATTTCAGTTCTAGGTTTAAGAGGTTTACTGTAGAAATACAGAGTTGTGATCATTTCCAAATATGAAGTAATAACAACCAAGGCTACCACCCCTTGAAAATATTAAATATTTCATATTTTGGTACTGAAAGGTATAAACATTAATACTATCAAGGTTTGAATCGATAATTTAAAATAAGTTGAGTACATAGTAGACTCGTGATAATAAGGATAATGAAATATGAAATGAGGAATTAAGTATCTTGTTACGTCTTTTGATTTTAAAAATTAAAATTTGTTTGCCATTTTAGTTATGCTATTTATTTCCTTGAAAAAGCTTGGACCAGATTGCTAGGCAAAACGTTGGATTTACTTCAAATTCATTTGCTGAGATTTTACAACTACATTCTTCCTCATTATTATTTAATATAGCTCAGAGAACAGTGGAAATTGCTTCTTGTTAGACTATGTCTTTGGTTAATGATATAAGATCTATTTCTGTGAACTCAAGATTGCCATAACCAAACTCATCACTGTTTGGTTTACCAGCTGATAAATTAGACTCCGAATTGTCACTATAAATATGACGGTTAGTATAATTAGGAAAATACTAATTTTATTTAATTTTATCTTCATTAATATTTGCGTCGTTCTCGTAGTTGTAGTTATACACCATCAAATAGTACTGTGATCACCTTAGAGATATCATTGATACGTGGCAACAGTCTAAAAGTGTGAAGATAGATTACAGCAGTTGGGTATGTGATTTTTTTAGAAAATGAATGTGGGTTAAAAATTACACTAGCTTGATAAATTTACACTGTGCCTTCGCTAACTTATGGATTAAAATACTGACTGAGGAAACTGAAAGTAGACATTTCTCACACATTTTCTTTTCCTTACTTATTTTTTCAGGTCATCAATATAAGTAAAATTAAAGCCCATACACCTAATTTACGTGTTATCAATTTATTTGGTATCAACTTCATTGAAGATAGTCATGTGGAATTATTAGCCAGTAATTGTATTCATTTGGAATGTGTCGCGCTTAATTTTTGTTTAAATGTTAAGGGTTCATCATTTACATTATTGATTGCGAATTGTAAAAAGTTGACAACCCTACTTCTAGAACATTGTGGTAAGAGAAAATCTTCATTCTAATGTTTTTACTTAAAATAATGCATTATTACAGTATTTTATATTCTTATTTAAAATTGTATAATTTATCAATTTAAATGCAGCATGTTTTATTGTAAAAATTGGATGTACTCTGAGATGCAGGTACATCCAACTGACAAGTCCTGAATAGAACGGAACGCGCGTCCTGGATTCCATTGCTAGCCACTATCCATCTTTGCATATAAACCTTGTAACCTAAGGCGATATCAAGGCAGTCCGCACTGGATGAACATATACTAACAAGAGACTGGTCAATTGCAGTCCTAAGTAACAATGGAAGGATACAAGTAAAGAACACCAAGTGAATTTGTCTCATTTTTATTTGAGAATAACATATTGAATCATTAAAGAATAAATAAAAACGATTCAAATAAAGTAATTTTCTCATCAATGATATCATTTTCTAAAACTGTACAATCGCGCTTTTTTATTTAGAATACGTAAGTTTATAGAAAATTACTGAATCCTATAAAATGTGATCGCTTCAAAAAATTACTTTATATTCTAAAGTGGAAATAAATTGTAGGTGATATGTGGCTAATAGTGGTATCCAGAACGCCCATTTCATCCTCTCTGGGACTCATTAGAAGTATGTACATGTATTTTGATGATGATATCCGCAACGGTACACGAACCTAGTACCTATAAATTCATCACCTTGCCTATTTAAACATTTAACCCGAATAGTTACTGATATATTCAACGGGTTTAGAGGTATTAGTAAATCTTTGTAATTCCCCGTTGTTGTTATCTAGAGCTAGAAGTGATCAACCTCTGTTTTAGTATGTGCATCCTGAGCGGATGCCCTAGATAATATGGATCACATGTAGAATCTATTGACTAGGGATAGAAAAATCACTCAAAATCGGAACATTTATGAGTTATTGAACGGAACAAAATAATATTTCTCTTAATGAGAGGTTATGGAAACCAGTAAATGATTTTTAAAGCTATACATTTATCTACATACAGAGCGAATTTTTAAATAACATTTTGATTTTAACATCCAAATGATACTAATCTGTATCTGTCTTTATTGATCGCATTATGAAAATCTACTAATTTCGTTGAAACTATTAATATGAGAGATCATCAAGAAATTAATATTTTCTTTTCTTAGACAACAAACAGATTTAGAATCATGTAATTTTGATAGTATCGTTATTGAGGTTTTTTTCCGTCAGTTATGTGTGTTATATACTTGTATTAATTGATTTATTGATAATTTTAATTGTGATTTATTTGTACAAGGTCTCAAAGATGAATTTATGATGGCTGTACCATGGGAAAATTCAGGAATTTGTGAACTTGATATAACCTCTACAGAATTATCTGCTGAATGCCTTGAAAATTTCTTAACACGTATACCATATTTTACTTACTTGGCAGCAGGTCATACAGATTTTTTTACTGATCATGTAAGTATTTTTAAAATCCAGAACGTTTTTTTGATTTACTAGTCCAGTTACTTAATGATTACAATCATTAGAAGGTTGAAAAGTGTTTGATTTTATTTTTAAACTCTACCGTAGTAAAATTTTCAACAAACAATGAAATAGGATAGATGGAATGTGAATAGCAATGAAATCCAGGAGGTGTTTTGCCTTACTTGAGATTCGTCAGCTGTATGTACTTGGATCCAAGTTGATGTTTACTCAAGGACTCGAACCTAGTGCCGTTAGCTTCAATTGCATTCGTACTATCTACTCGGCCATTAATTTCAGATTAAGTTTCTGTCAAAATATCGAGAACAGGATAATCCTATCCATATCAAGTTTAATTAAAGTAATAGAACAATTTGCATCGTACATCAAAAGAGTTTAATATTTTAAAAAGGTTTGTACTTCAGGTTATTTCAACTAACCATTTACTTAATCCAAGTTGTCTTTTTATGTACAGGTAAAGCTTAAAGAAGTGTGTTAAAAACCCCACTTGGCTAGAGATTGTACTTTCGATTAGCTGACGTACTTGTAAGAATTCATTGTTATCTCTTAAACTGTTCATTTATAATAACTTTAACAAGTCAAGAAATACAGACGAAAATGAAGTTAAATGCTTTTAATTTATTGAATACAGAAACAAACTATCTATAAAATTAAGAATGTTTTACCCATTTATATTCTATTTTTCCTATGTATTTCAAAATAGTCTGTAACAACACTTTCTAAAATATAGTTATTCAGAAAACTTCATTTTAAAAAAATATTGTTGGCTTTTTTAACTCCCGAAAGGTCTGTAGTAGCCAACATCATGTTTTGGTGATATATGAACTAGTTAACAATTGCGAACTTGAATGTAATAACCACACTATTTGTTTTTAGATATTGAATACACTTTGTGACAGTGGTAAATTTAAGCAAGTCAAAGCTATTGATTTGAGCCATACACCGGCACTTAACGAACAGTCCATAACAAATCTTCTTAAGCTTCATGGTCATCAGTTACATGGTCTTATGCTACATGGAAAAGCTACTTTGGCTGAATATTTTTGGACTACTGTGATTCCATATCTTGGTGCAATAAAGTACGGATTTCATTCCTTATTATTTGTTCTTTTTTAAAGATATTTTATGCTTCAGGCTTTTATTGAAGAAAAGACCGCTAAAACTAGGGAGTACCAGAAAACTTCTCATTCAGAACAGGAAACCTTCAAAATATCTATTATATGTTTACTAGTATTTAAAGGTTTGAGATGGATTCTCGGAAGTCTTATGGAAAGTTCTGACTGGAGGAATCAACCATGTCTGCTGTGAAAAGCCATGACCAATGACGTTGAAAGATAGTTGTATAATGTCAGGAAATGGATAAAGTTGAAAAAGTAGACCATTGAAACCTGTAAAAGTAATGAAAGATGTGAGTAAAAGAAAATCTGAAAAGGGTGAATAAATGTAAGCGATATGTTTTTTAATCGCAACAAGCTGACTGGTGTATCACAAAAATCCGTTTTTAAACACCATTTTAGTTTTGATGAGACTATTGTAAAAACAATCTTGCTCATTTAATACAATCAAACATAAATTGTGATCTACTCTAATCAGTATAATAACAAGGATTATTATTCTTTAGACCAGTAAAATATCGATATCTAAATGTTTAAGTGTACTTGATGATTGTTTTCTACGTAGATAAACATAGTAAATTTCACAACGGTCAGTAAATTGTAATTATACAAATTTTTCTAATAGAGTTTAATGAGGTGTTTGTTCAAAGTAAAATCATCTTGTTTGATGGTATATAAGTGAATCAAATTTAAAGCTTTAAAAACAGAAAAGGCGATCCTGAAATAATACTTGGAGGAAAAACGTAAGGTAACGAAAAGATAATTTAAATATTTTGTCAAATTATCAGGCTTTTAGAAATAATGAGATCATCCACGGTGACAATGATTTTAACCTTTCGAACAACTGTTTAGGGTTAATATATTTTTTTAGAATTCTTAGAAGATATAATGCAGTCATAAAATATATTATGGCAGTATTTCTCCATAATTTGAACATATTTAACACAGAGAGCTATCTAACTTTGTATCAATAATTTGTTCCTTTCTTATCAATTAGTAATCATTGGTTTAGTAAGAGGCGTTCATATTTTGTTAAAGCCCTATTTTCCTAAAACCAACATAATACATATAAGGATTGAATAAAGCACTTTTAAGCAGTATTATTTTTAAGCGAAATCCTATCCTGCACGTATCACTAGGAAACATATAAAAATAAAAGAATGATAAACCAAACTTTATGTTGAAATACGAAGATTTCTAAATAAAAGAAGAGTGAGTTACTTTTTAAAGTTTTTCTCAAGGGAATCAAAAATACCTTATGAACTATTTCGCTAGTACTTGAATAATTTTACACCTGGAAAAAAACTATTCACACTATAAGCTTTGCTTTGACATGTTTAGGAGTACAAAACCGGTTATAAAACACTTTACCTGAAATGTTCAGTAACTGCTACAAAATACTTATTTCATGAGTTATTTTATTCAGTAGTCTATCTGTAATGTTATTTTATGAATAGCTACTTATTGTTTTAAATTACATCATTTTATATAAAATAATTAAAATAGCCTTTTTTATGAATTGGATCAGAGTTTGTGTACTTGGAGCATCACATGGTTGGTTTTTTAAATACAACACACGAGTTCATATTGATAAAATTCTGGAAAGTTTTGCCGGATTTTGTCCAAATTTAGAAGCATTAGAAATACAATGGGATCCAGATACTATTCGGTTTAGTGATAAAAGTAGAAAATTCATTGATCGAATTAGGTGAGTTTTTTTAATGACACATTGTTTTAATAAAAAAAGTTCAATAAGTAATTCGTTTATTTGAAATGACAGATAAACAATTAATTATGTCAGAATTTCTATATTTAAAAGGAATTCATATTTAAGAAGTTGAACAATAATCATTACTTTTCTATAGATTATGAAGCTCCTACCTAGCATACAAATTTTTCAATGAGAAGGTTCGATTTAACTTTAGCGCTAAGTTTACACCATAGACTATTCGATAATGCTCTCATCTTCATAAAGCTCTGGAAAATAATGAAATTAAATCAGTTTTATTTTGTTTGATAAAAACGTGTAGGACATTTCTCATCGATTTGTAGTGGCTGTGCTTCGTGGACCAATCACCCTCGTAACCGTTATCGTATAATCCCTCAACGGTGTTTGAAATCAGAATGCAAAGAGAAGCAGCTACTACAGTTTTATTAACAGGTAGCTAAAATCACAGGGCAGAGAGGCGAATGAGTCGGCGAACCGTGAATGTGTCAAGTGTTAAATATACATGTATATATATAGAAAAATGAATAGATTATCGAATCGATTAAGCGAATAATAATAAGGTTAGTGGGATGAATATAGGCGTGGGCAGTCAACAATGTTCAAGCATACTTATTCATACAAGCATAACAATAATAAAGGCACAATAAGTTGTTAAAGTACAAATGACTTTGTCCGTTTAATAGGTTAACAAAAGGGTTTAACCGAATTAGATGAGAGCAGACTCAATTGAACGTGAGTTGCTATAGATTTGTATATCTTATTTAAAGTGAATTGCATTAGAATGAAAGTCTGACCGACGAAATTCTTTTCAAGCTTCAATAACTATCATGTCAATGAAGTGTACTAGGGTTTATAAGTGTTTATATACACAAATAGGGCGTTCATAATGTTGTGATTTTAATAACATTGAAACGTGAATACCTAAGATCCCTTTCATATAGAGATTACAGTAATTCAGTTATCAGTATTTTGGATTATTGATAGAAATGTCCGAAGCAACTTTAGGAGACATTCACCAAGTGAATATTCTTATTTGTAATGTTTTTATCTTTGTACTATTAATAATCAGGGTCACCCTCAATCTCTGTTGGGTTACTCACCTAATGAAACGATACCTGAATATTTCCTGTACTGACGACTTAATAGTATTTTCTAGTGGCTAGCAGTACAATTCAGAGTATTAATGTCACATTCTATTAAACGATTGATATAACAATTATGACTCAGAAGCTTAGTGAAAAATCTTCTGCATATTGAAGCAATAGGTTCTAGGTTCAAGTCTCACGACAAATATCAACACTGTGATCGGGAAAATGTCTATCAGACGTTTCCCGAATAAGACGACACTTCCATCCAATTTAACATTATTAAGCACTGTCAAAAATATTACCCTATGGTTACTGATAAGGAGTAAATTAAAATTATTCATTTCTTCTATAATTTAAGAAAGTTGGCTACAGTTACATGAGTTCATCTAGGATATTTTATCATCTGTACATTTAATATAGACATTCTTTGTATTTTCTTATTTCAGAATCAAATGTCCTCGGTTAAAGTCTTTAACTCTTAGTGATGGAAAGTACTATGAAATGGTTAAAGGAAATTTTGAAAGAGCAGAATGTCCTAGAGTAGTACGCACTACAACTACATATATTACAAGTATTATTAGCTTACTGAAACGTTATAAGGATTTGAGATTTAATTAATTCTATAAAACTTATATGTAATCGCTCTTTTAGATTTTATACAATTCAGAGAAATAATCAGGTGAAAGAATATTCAAAAAATAATAATGAATTGCAGATAATCACTTGGAATTTTAAATTGATGTGCGAGTCCTATAGTGCAGCCAATGAAATAACATCCAAATTTGTATGTTGTTAATTTGCGAATATCTTTTGAAATCTGCTATTGTGGAATAAATAGAAAAACACAATCATGTTTTATAGAAAATATGAGTTTGCCTTTTTCATTTTAATTTTAATTCCATGTAATATTTTCCTTAAAAAGTAAATATCACTTGATATTTAATAAGAGTATATTTGAAATACTTTTAACACCATAAAGCATTTAATAATACATGTTTGTCTTTTAGATAATAAAAATATTTATCTATCTTCATAAAATCATAAATACTAACCTTTCAGTGCAGGGCTGTGGATCCTGTTTATTTATCAAAATCTATCATGTGTACACTATATATGACAATAACTCTTTGATTTTTACCCTCGAAAAATTGTGATCAGGTCCTGCATCGATATATTAAGTTTTTTGTTGATCCTAGATGAAGTCGCCTCTCTTCACTCTACTCATTATTTATTTGTCTTGGTGGGTTATCGTATTTGTTGGGTTCTTAATTACTGTGCTAACTTTGTTCCAAGTACCGTTCAAACTGAGGGTAAGGCATATTGTTTGTTTAGTTTTGGACCCATAGTTTGAATTAACTGGAATGAACTAGCTTACAACGGTTCTATTACATTTCAAGATCGTTAGTAAAGTTTCTTTTCCAACAGAATAACCACTTGATGTCTTGCAGCACACGATTTGTACGAAATTTCATGGCTGCTTCATTCTATACGATTGAGTGATTCAAACATTAGACAACCAGTTTACCATCCTAGTTTAGTAGGGATAAACTTATTTTGTTCTTTGACAATTTCCACCCCTTTGTCGTGTTACATTTTGCAGATTAACTAATTGACTGAAAAACCTTTCGACGTTATTCGTCTAGGTGTTTCATATGATTACTTACTTACTTACGCCTGTAACTCCCAATGGAGCAAAGGCTCTCGTCTAGCATTCTCCAACCCACTCTGTCCTGGGCCTTCCATTCAACTTCTGTCCCATTGCTGTTCGTTCTTCCCATGTCTGCCTCCGTTTCTCGGTGTAATATGTTCTTTGGCCTTCCTCTTCTCATTTGACATTGAGGATTCCATGTGAGGACTCGCCTTGTGACTCAGTTGATTGCTTTCCTCAATGTGTATCCTATCTACTTCCAGCGCACCTTCCTCATTTCTTTCTCCTCTGGAATCTGTTTTCTTCCCTCCCATAGTAGGTTGTTGCTGATAGTGTCTGGCCAACGGATCCGAAGTATTTTGCGTAGACACCTGATAATTAAAGCACTTGTATCTTTTGAATAATCTCTTGCATAGTTCTACAAGTTCCCGCTCCACACGGTAGAACTGTCTTGGCATTTGTATTGAAAATTCTAACCTTGGTGTTGGTTGCCAATTGTTTTGAGTTCCAGATGTTCTTTATTTATAGATATGCTACTCTTGCTTTGTCGATCCATGCTTTCACATTTGCATCAGGTCCACCGTGTTCATCAATGATGCTGCCCAAATATGTAAAGGTTTGTACATCTTCCAAATCTTATCCGTCAATTGTGATTGGATTGTTGCATGTTGTGTTGTATTGGAGAATCTTGCTTTTCCCTTTGTGTATATTGAGATCTGCTGTTGTTGAAGCTGCTGCCACATTGGTCGTCTTCTCCTGCATTTATTGTTGCGTGTGCGATAGAAGAGTCAGATCATCTTCGGAGTCGAGATCGTCCAGCTGCATCCTAGCTGTCTATTGTATCCCGTCTTTCTCCTCAGATTTTCACGTCTTCATGATCCAGTCGATCATCAGGATTAAGAGAAAAAGTGAGATCAAGCAACCCTGAATGACACCGGTCTTTACTTTGAAAGAGCTTATCAGCTATCCTCCATACTATAAGTGCATTTTGTGTTTGTTTGGATAGCATCGATGAAACTCCTTATGAGTGCAGAGCATTTCCTTCCTCTTCATAGACGGAGTGTGACAGCAGCTCCCCTGAAGCTAGTCTTTGTTATCCAACCTGCGTCCAATGTGTTGTAGATCACCAGCGTGGATGATCTACGTCGAAATGATTGAAGGCTTACTCGAATTAGACGTGAGTGGTGTGACAAACTAGCTAACGTCGAAGTCACACTTCGCGGTCTGCACCTTACATAGATTACCCCATTGACGTATCAAGGTATTATAGATGCTTTGAAGACTGTACAACACAGAGGACGTTATTACAGAAATATATTAGTTAAAGTAGATACAAGCGAAGGTAAGACCACTGCCGCATGGGCCAGTCCATGGCGTACGATTAACTGATGCGCGTCGGTTGTCCTTGACATTGACGAGGATTGATGATTTTGTTCGATATTCAATGGCTAGGGCTCAGTGGAATTTCACTGGCCCTACAGTGCTTTACTGATTCCAAGCACCTCCAGGTTGTATCTCTTTATTTCTGCAGCAATTTAGAAGACTCTCCCGGCCTCCCACATTATACGAGCATTCCATGTACCTAAATTAATAGTTGCTCTGGTCGTCAGAAGAGGCATCAGCCTCGTCACTACCAAAAGAACTCGACGTTCACTATGAGACCTTGTAACTCCCAGGGCAGAGTTTAAATAGTTTGAATTATTTTTTCTGGTTAGCGTTTTTTTAGCGAGTTAGTTTTCTACGGAATGGGGTCGCTAACCCCATGCTCAACCCTCCTCCTTTGTCCGGGCTTGGGACCGGCAGTAGCCCCAGAAAAGCTTCAGGTGTAGTTGTTTCATATGGCCTAGACCCATGATTTCGAGAGAGAACTACTAGGTAGGCTGGATGAGTATAATAAGTTCTAGGACTGAGAAGTGAATTTCCTATGCAGTGTGTTTGATTTCGGTAGTTAAAACTTCATAATGGTATTTTTTATCAACCAAACGATCCTTGAAGATGAACGCACGATAAACGAGATCTACATTTAGCATTTAAAACCATGGAGAAGGCCAGATATAGTGAGCGCGGGATATTTGTTCGGTATGGCATGGATCGATCATGCAGGCGTGGTCACTCTATGTGACATCATCTCTTTCATATTGAATGTATCATACTAAACAAGCGGAAATGCGTTCTTCAGAAATCCTGAACAGAGTATTTCTGACTTTCAGGATGGGACAAGTCAGTATAGGCAATGGTGCCGTGGGGGTGTTAGTTCAAACCACACGATACTCAAAACTGAGAAAATCTGCATCCGACATCTAATACGAAGAGGCCACAAAATAGCGTAACAAAGTGGAAAAAGACCAATGACATCTAAGGTTTTTTCAAGTGGGAAACACGATCTGAAATGAAGGGCGCTTTTGACGCGAAAACGAGAAATTCGGATTTCCAAAAAAGTTGAGAAGATATCTATTTCTGGGCATCTGGCATCCCCAACAAAATCTACAATTTTAGGATTACGACTATCATTATAGTAGCAAAGATAAATTTACAAATGTCGAACCGAACCATCACTCTACAATGCGACTTTCACGTAAGATCTCATAGATTAGGTAGTAGCATATGGCAACTCAATAATTTTGGGATTCATTATTCTACAAGCACTCAATGTACACGATACCGACGTAAACGTCACTTACATAATTTCATCAGACTTGGCGATTATGGATTTTGGTCAGCCTTTTATTCTTAAAACCTTTGATTATATATGTCGCTTGGTATTATTTTTCTACGACTGAAAACTGGACGTGGAGAGAACGCGGATAACAAAAATAGCATTTCCAGGTTAAATCATAATTACGAATTGATCGGATGTTGTTAAAATTAACGATCATGAATAGTCACACATTAACCAGAATCACATAAGAAATGCTTGGTCGAAGAAAACTGAGAAATATAAACACCTGGTCGCACACAATTTGGATAAAAGGCAGTACAGATAGAACAAAGGAAAATTCAAGAAGTAACAATATTAACGTGTAAGAAACTTTGAAGGATTTTTAAAAGGATTCATTTTATTACAGAAGGATGGGCATGTGTCACACAATAAATGTGTCACATAATAAAGAAAAATGAGTGATATATTATGTCGTTTCTGTCACTGTCCGTTTCCTGTGAGCTCATCAACTATCTCGTTAATGTTACCAAAATCCCAACATGTCACTAGTGGCCCGTTATTCGCAGAGACCGTTTATTTAAATTATTTCGCTACTGTTCCCTGTAAAATCTCTGAAATCATATCTGAAACAATTGCATTGAATGTGACAGACTAATAAAAACCAGGGGATACATACAAAAGGAAATATAGAAAAACGAGCTTATAGAACATCAAAGCAGATAAACGGAAAACATATGAGTTGCTTGTTGTAATCAGAAGTGTGCTTATTCACAAGTCTAAACATATATCTGCAATAATGACCATAACTAAAGGAATTCCAATGAATGTCAGATATAGATATAAAACATTCGTGTGTAGTTGCCAGGGAATATGATGTGTGACATTAGCTTAAATAATGACATGCACATATGGATATTCGTAGTTAAATTAGGATGCTAACAATTGCTGTTATCAAAGGGGTGGATGTGGTTTATTCACTGAAATACCCATCAGTCATATATAGATAAAATAAAATAAGCATCTTTGGATTTGTAGTGAATCTTCTTTTCGACGATGAACATGAATCAACTATCCAGCGCTTTTCCTCTCATCTAGTGAGTGGATGCTGCACAAAAGGACATGATTTTTAACGATCTTTTGTCTTCGAGCTCAAACTATCAATCTATTTGTTTTTCTGATTCAGCAACATTAGATGCGCTGCAGATTCCCGTTCATAGAAGAAGTAACCAGAGTACCTAAGAAAATTGAAACGAAGTTTCCATTAAACCTTATGCTGATAAACAGTAGTGAATCACTAAATAAACGAAAACATTATCAAAAATACCGGATATAGCACCCCTAATGAACATTAAAGAAGGATGATTTTGATCAAACAACAGAAACGTATAATCATGAACTTAGGTGATAGAAAACTGAGGCTTTAAAGTATGATTGATCTAGCAATGATTAATGCTCACTGAAAATAAACGACGAAAGCATTCAAATGATCCTCGAGTGTCATTCAGGCTTTGGTTTTGATTGAATCGAAGGAGGGCCGCATAATCTTTTTCTCCGGTTTATTCCACAGTCTGTCGACTTAAGTAGTGAAAAGCTATAATAAATTTCTATGCTTCGCCTCTTATATTTAATTGTAGAGGTAAATAACCCTCCAAAATAAAATTCCGTAGGTCTTAGATATTGGTGCAGAATTTATTGGTTTTATTCGATACGACCTGCCTTAAGACACTCAGTCACACAAACATCGTGATTTTCATCCCTTGTAACTACTGTCCAGCTTAGAGCAAACGTTTCTCGATATGTCGATAACCTGACAAATATATCTTCGAGATCCTTCATTCCTAGCTTCTGATTTGACTAGGCTCGTATTCCTTTAATTAAAAAGGTGATAAGGAAAAGTTGTTCTCAATGTCCGACTATGCATGGCATCTTTACTATCATTAGGAGACCACCATTATTTAGTATTTTATGGTTGGAATTTTGAAAATGTACAAAGTAAATCCCATTTATTCTCTCATTCCACATTACTCCTCTCTTATTGAGTTAGATGTGGTCCGCGGGTGACTATGTGGTGTACCACACGATTGGTCACCGATGAAATCTCCTCGAGCGGTTTAGTTATTCTGGGGAATTTCTCGAATAAAGCGTGGAATTTATTGTCACGCGAATAAAACGTGCCGAGGATTCGGTACGCGTACATCGGAGTCTATTATATTAATACTATTCTTATCGTTATCCGTCATGTCGAGTATATTATATATTAAAAATTAATATGAAAATATACGACAGACGTGGATAGATAAAACAATAGACTCACCGAATTGCCTTCTTTGGAAGATTTGACCGAGGTTGAGACGTGTTCCGAGATTCGGCTCACCAAATGTAGCGTGGTGTCGAGTTGAGCTTGACTATGAACACCGCTACAAGACCAATAAGATCCCCGTAGGCCAATATCAGAAGACAGATTATGGCTGTAGTCGAGATGTATTTGTTGGCGATCTTGTGGTATCGAAAGAATACCGAGATCGTGCCAAAGGAGTACAAGCGTGATTACTAAGCGTAACCGAATTCGTACAGGTTCAGAGCCAACGGGAGAGTAAGTAAGTGTAATGGCTGTCATTAGCACAGTTAAACAAATGAGCACAGTAAAACAGTCACTGGTACAATTGGTTATAATAATAATTGTTTTCATTGTATCAATCGCGTTCTGTTGACAAAAGTAGGTCACTACAGATGAATGGAGGAACTTTCAGTCTTTTTTGGAAATCGTCTTCCGTCATTTTGAACAATAGTATTATTGGAACAGTTGACCTCAAAAGCCGATTGTTGCCAGATTTGAAATGTGGATGTGTTTCTGTTCGACTCATAACTTTTTGAAATGATTCTGAAGCCTGTAATGTTGGTCACGGTTTTCATCTTAAACATACTTCTTCAAACGGTTCACAGTCTTGCCTACAGCCAAATAGAAGGTGTTTATGTCCTGCATCCTGAAGATTTCGACAACAAAACATCTGAAGGAATCTGGCTTGTAATTTTCTATCGCAAGTCTTGTGGACACTGCATAAGCTACTCTAAACCTTTTTCACAATTCTGCCTTTCTGTAAAGAGTAACTCAATATTCATTCTCCTTAAGGTGACTTTACTGATTATCTGAAGATTGGAATTGGGCACTTCATCTCGGATCTGTGGATTGTGAAGATGAAACTAATATGAATTTATGTTATCGTTTCAAAGTACAAGGAGTTCCCACTCTTAGGGTAAAGTAATTTTTATAATTATTTCTCAGTTCCTTTCCACGAAAAACAGTAAACAAATGTCCGAAGAAATTCCAGCCGAGCGAAACGTGACATTACTGAGGAAAAGCATTGCCTCAAAGTTAGTTAATGTTTCTGCTCTTCAGCTCTCAAGGTAAGTAAAATACGCGAAGCCTCACTTGTTATAGGGATTTAGCAGTTAATGATCCAATAATTGTTACGGGTAGCGATATCGAAGTAAACGCTCTGGTGAGTTACGTGACCATTTCAAAATTTTCCGTAGGTTGTCTGACTTGAATGCTTGATTAAGCGTTTACATGTAGCTCAACAGATTTAGAAATTTAATTGCTATTATCATATCTTTCAAGCGAAATTTTCAACCAATCTTTCCACTATAAAAGTCACATTACAACTGAAGTACTGTAAATTTGCTTACATTTAAGCTGACCACTAATGTACTACGAAATGCGTAAGTTTACAAGATACAAATTTCAAGATAATTTTGTAAATTAAGCCAAAATCATGACGAAAAATAGGTACATTCTCCCATTAGTTTGTTATTGGCGTAAGACTTGATTTCTAAGCTGAGTTCGGTAAGGTGGTTTTGCATATATTAAGTACACCAAGCGACTGTAATTAGTGATAAAAAATGCTGAAGGATGTTGGTGCTAAACTTTGTGAAGTGATTGTATTAAAGTATGTACCTAAATACAGACTTTGAAATGACAGTTTTATTTTAAACCATGATGGATTATTAACTTTAGTATGCTTTATCTAGGTATCAGTCATAGTTCGTTTTTCAAATTTTTAGTTTAAGATGCTACATGTCGAAAGTTAATGATCCAAACATTTAACCGACTTTAAATACCTCATTCATGGTAGACTTGTTTCAGTTCTAATGTCTTAAGTCCTCAATGGCTGATTAATGTAGTCGTTTTACTGTATTTTTTTTAAAAGCTGGTACTGGATTATAGTCTCCTTCTAAAACGAGAGATCCGAAGCGTAGTAAAACCAGGCTTAAAGGAAATCGATGTCACGAATCGTCTTTCTGGTGAAGTAATTGTTAGGTAAGTAGAATTCTCATACCTATTGGCTTTTTAGCACACAGTTTTGTGAATTTTCAATATTTACATACGTCAGTTATAAATATCAAATACTACACCAGCATCTTTATTATGATAGTTTTTCTTTAAAACTTTAATGGTTTGATGATGTGTAAATAACTCTATTTATCTCAGTGTAAACGTTAGCATTAATTGGAGAATAGTAAATTACTGGTGGATAAACCACTTCATTTACTGACCCGTTAGTCATATGATATTTTCTTTAGTAAATTTTTTTCATTTATAGGCCAAATATAAATCTGGACAGTTTCATAAAAATACATATCTCAGTAAATTTTTAAACAATAATTTAGTATGATTAAAAGACGAGTAAAAAACAACCGAGAATTTCGCTCACTTATGGTTCCCTAAAACTGCTTATCTTTCCTCGAATGAGACACTGAAAATTTAAACGTTTGGGGAAACTAATAGTCGAATACTGAGTTTTGATTCTGCTTGCCCATAGCTCTGACTATAAGCGGATCATGATAACAAACGTGACAGTGATTCTATATATTTTTTTAATTTGATTATTTATGAATTCAAATAGCCCGAGTCTTAATAACTAAGCCGTTCACGAAGACAACCTTTTCACTATTGGTGTACGTCAAACTTAATTTTTTATGCATATAACTGCAATTTGGTTGGTTTTAAATAGTAGTCGTCCCTTTTTTAGTTTTTTGTGGGTTGGTTAATTATTTTAAGATCAAACATACAAAGTATTATGTTATGAGACTACTGACTAGTTCGACTTGTCAGTTTGTTAAGCAAATTCTTAGTTTTAGTTTGGTTTATTTTGCGTCTACTATTTTCTAAACAGCGTAGTGTCCCCGAATTGACCCATTACACGCACGATCAGTACTACTGAGTTTGAGCCGGCAGTTAAAGTTGTGATGGTCTGCTATTCACAAGCTTCTTTCAGTGTACTACCTTGATTTCAAAAGGAACAACCAACCGCATTTTATATCTATTTTAAACAGACGCAGTTTAAATACAGAAATACTGGACAACAACTCACCATAAAATGGAAAATAACATTTTTACATAAACAAACCAATACTGGTTGTGAATAGAAAAGACTATAAGTAATAGAGTAGCATTGAATTAGGAAGCGTAACTCATGTAACAGTAGCTAATGATTTAACTGAAAGCATATGATAAATGGAATATATATATATATATATATATATATATATATATATATATAGTATTTTAATTGCTAATTAATTGTAAAACAAAATTATGGTTATTAAGAGTTCGGAAAATCAGTCCCGATCTCCAAAACTTTCGTTCCGTCGTAACAAAAGTTATTGTATTCATTTTCATTAGCGCATGTAAATAGAATAAGTTTATATAGTTTACTATTGACAATCTTGTTAGATATGTTTCATAACATGAAAGCGTCTATGTATTTTTTGCTTTATATCGACTTTTGAAAAACTTATTAGGGGTCCCGAGGAACAGGTGAGGATGGTACTTGATCGAATTGCAGGTAGTAAGCCAAGGTTGGAAGAAGACAGTCAGCCAGAAATGTGAGTTCTTAACTATATCTAATCATACTAACTTTACGTGTTTGTTCATATGTCTATCAAAAACCAACTTGGTTACGTAAAGTCTTGAAAGAATAAAGTGGAACATTTTTCTGAATTTATGGTTTGATGTGACTGCTATACAACTAATCGAGAACCCTATTATTATCGGATAGTAATTTGTTACGTCACTCAGTCAATTAATCATCCTTAACGTAAAACCTGGTGCATATGTGCAACGGTTCAAGTTGTCACACCCTATTAGCAAAACGAGATAAAGTTATCATGGCAAATCCTAGAGTGGTAGAAATAGTAACAGCAGTAATGGCAATAGGAGAGATTGAGCACAAAAAATATGATTCGAGAGGAAGAAGATTAGTAGTACGAGGTAACTTTTACAATGTAATTTGGAGACTCAGGATTAAAGTGACATTTGATGTGCTTGACCTCGTTAAAGTCAACAGTTTGAACAGAATAGTTCTTTGATATATATCACTGGGGTGAAAAAGCAATTAAGAGCTATTTATGCCGATCGGATGTGCCGATTAGTTGGTTTTATGGATTATCTAACTGCTAACTATGAGTTTGACCTGAATAATTGGGCTCTCAAAGCTAAAACTTTAAATTGCATGGTCTTTAATCAATTATTTGTACTAAATGGAAATGCATAGGATCAGAGCAAGATCCACTTTCTGATTCCATTACTTTAAAGTAATTGGCTCACGTGAACTACAAACAAGTTGGTATCTAAACAAAGGGGATAGACGTCCAGTGGTAAATAAAATCAAACACAGAACAAGGAGTCTAAGATATATGAATCTAACAATTTCCTATATGTATGTAGTCACATGTCAAGTAAACGTTGCAAATGATAAATTCACTGTCGAAAGGCATTTAAAGTGAGACACATCTGAAATACAAATACGTTTTCCTGTATTTTACTATTCTGTACAAAGGTTTTGATGAAGCGAGCCTGAATCTAGTGTTTTCAGTAGTACCTTGGATATAAGTTCATGTCATAAACTCATAATACTTTTATACGAATATTCGTCAAGATTAGAACGAATAGTTTGACAGAAATTGGGCTCCGAGTATACATAATGGTAACACTTTTGTCAATAAATCAGCTGAATACATTGTGGAGGTATTTTTAACCGGGCATTGATCTTTATATTATTACAGTATTTATGAAAAAATTTGTTATAGAGATGTTAAAACAACACCAATCCAAGTCAAATATCCACCGGTTTACGCGGTTGATGTCTATCGGTCACTAAGTATGCTACTACAGTCTGATGTTGGTGCACGTGATAAAATTGAGGGGCCGGCCTTAGAAGCTCTTAAAGAATTTTTGGACATGTTGTATGAGGTAAGTTCTAAACCAAAGACAGTGTTGGTTATAATAATTAGAAACTTATTTCACCAGATTAATTTTCAGTATATATAAGTTTTTCCCCATAGACTTTGAACATTTAAAGACATACAAATATACATTTGTTTTAAGATTTTATAATTCTTTCATACTTATCGCTGTTATTCTTCATTGATAGTAATATGAAGCATAAGCTTGTTTGTAGATAACTATTACTATTATTCCCGGGTTGTAAGCAGCTGAAGAGAAAAATCGGGAATGAATTTATTCGTCTTATTCTGCCATATATATTGTTCTTGCTTCAATCGAATTTGTCGGAGGTAGTTTATAAAGTGATTACTGTAAAAGTTAAATCATGTGTAACTATCTCCTTTATTCCAAGTGTCATCCCTCCATAAAGGATAAAAATCTAAAATTTCATTAGGCTACTTCTCACGTTTTGGTTATTTTTTACTTTTAAGTGAAAAAAGTTTTAAAAAAGGTAATGGGACACCTTCATTTTGTGTTGCACATAACCGTGTATACCCAAAATATTAAATATCACATTTTAATTGAACACTGAGGAAAGGATGACAAATCTTACTTGTCTGACAGTCCTATACAGGGCCTAAGTTGTTTTTTAGAGTATCAGTGATTAATATAACTTTTTTCCTCAATAAATTTATTTTCATTGAATCCTTATGGTTTTTTGTCAATTAACCGTTTGATGATAATCGGTCACGCTATGAACCTGAAATGATAACATTCTCACTAAATAATAGTAACTAACAGCCTTCTTAGTTCTAACACTTTTTTACCACAATAATGCATGATAATTCCGTCCAGCCATTAACATTTTGAGAATTACTCTCATGATAAACTCATTTGAAAATCTTTCGGTAATAAAAGTTGAAATTACTGAACTGTATGGATTGACTTGATGAAAGTATAGTGATACAATTTACAGCTCATTTATACTTCGTCTAAAATTTAAGTTCAATAAGTATCAAACTATTGTATATACGTAAATAATTAACATATATCTCCTGATCATCCATCTATGTGTAAGACGTACATTATTAAAGTTATCAGATGACTGGAGATTGACAGAACAGTTACCCACTATTTTCTTCACTTTTTATTTCGATTAATTTGAAATAAATATGTTTAAGTTCACTGTATCAATACGTGTTGTATTATCTATTTCGACAATTATGTTTTCCCCAGGTCATCCTACGTGGTTGAAAAACATTTTTACAGCTCTAAAAAGTGTGAACATGCCGAAAATAAGTTTCGGTTGATTAAATAGCATGTACTAATCTCAAAATTATTGCTTTTTGAACTATTCTATTGAAATATTATCTATCTCACGTCAATCAGCATTAGCCACTGTACTACTAGAGGTTTAATGGTACTGTTGATTGGGTGTCCTGTCATAATTATGATCATTAGTGAACGATTAGTAATACTCAAAGTCAAGTAAAATACTATCAATCAATAAGTTGGGAATTATCAAGCATATTCTATTAGATTGTGAATTGTTTTGTTCATAGATTAACATCAGGTGGAGCAGGTATTTAAAAAATGGTGGACTATGGTTTTCATTACAAAATAATCTTCCATCTAGTAAAAGCTTCTATTATCGGTGTATTTGATTTAATCACAATGAGAAAATAGCTACCATTTCTTTTTGTTCAGTCGTGTGATTGACATTTTCAGAATATTGGATTACATGCTCTGGCGACTTGAATTTGACCGCTTTTTTTGAAAAACTCAAATAAATCTTTGTCAAATATCAACATTAAGAATCTTTCAATATTTAAAACGATTTATGCAATGCATATTCATGAATGTCGCTTCTGATCAAATTTAAATATGAAAAACTTAAGTTTTAAATATGTATATATGTAATAACTTTTGGAATATAAACTGTCATAAAATCGTCATTATTAACCTTTCATACAGTTTTGTATATTAGATTCTGGCTGCTAATTAGTAGTTATATTTATTTTTGCGTAACTATGGTGACCGATCATTCTATGCAAACTAACAAAATAAGTTTTAATTTCGATGAGTGATTTTCTAAGTTTTACAGTTCCTATTGCATATAATGAAAACTGGTCACAACCAACTAACTGATGATAATTATTTTCATAAGATGATATTTCTTCTGAAAAATTTTTAAAATGCAGGCAATATGTTATTCTAATTGGAAACAAAATGATGGTATTATCACTATTACAGCAGCACTAGCGATCACTTGTGATACTGTTACGAATTCTCATGATGTGGAAGTTATTTAAATTAATATAGACGGATGTTAATTATTCTTATGCAAGATATCGAGTTAGGTTGAGTGCCGTGAAACGACAAACTATCATGGTTGTTCTCCTTTTATTCTGATAGCCTTTCTGGATTATGGTTGACAATGATTTCGAACTAGATCATACCAATCGATTAAATACGCCTATTGCTCAAATTTAAAGTCAACAAAAGTTATATTTCCTAATTGAGGTTATGCTGTATAAACTGTTTAGTAGTAAATACTTTACGATATCTCAATTTAAGTTACTCCGCTTTGGGAATCCAATTATGAATGAAAATTTTCCTCACCACAGTAATTAGGATTAATGGGTTTTAATCTAAATGATTATCCCAATTTTTCTTTGGATAGAGGCACTCAGTCAGTCAGTAACAACTCAGAACTACGTACGTACGTACATTAGTTCGAGTTGCCATAGAGGCACTAGAAATAAATAACGAGTTATCTTTACAGAAACGTTTTTATACGGAATAAACTTTTCATGAAGTCCTGCGTTTCTTTTTCATTTCCGGCAAGTGGTAGGCAAGCAACGTTTTAGAGTCAAAATTCAGTAGCTACATTCGTCTACTTAAGTTTCAAAGGATGTCCACAATATAAATATTATGTATAACACAGGGGCAGCACTGTATTCTTTTAATGATTTTTTTAATTATCTCATTTTCTCTGGATTCAAGATTCTTCCAGCTTCTCAGGAATATAAAGCTCACCTGTCTGGAATTTCCGTTTGGTTAAATTCTAAAGCAAGTATTACGGGTCAAGAATGGGTTGCGTATCTTGAAGGAATCCAAGTATGTTCTATCAACATCTGTTTATTTCCACATTATGTATTACCTCCGTCGTTAGATACTATGCCTTAGCAATTTATGCCCAGAAAAACCTTATTCCATAGGCAAACAAAAGACATCTTTAAAAAGGCAAAATGTTTGTTTTCATTTGATTGCGTATACATATCGAATGACATAATAATACAGTCTGATAATAATTCTGAGTATGAATCTTTTAGTTCCATTAGTTATGATCCTGAGGTCTTAATAACCTATTTCAGTATATAATTAGAAGCATACTCACACTTAAGGTTTTTTATAGTACAGTTTTATGATATTTATAAAAGTCCTACATTACAACAGTTTCAGGTTCATATTTAAAAAGGAACAAAAATATGTAAATCAATAGATAAAACAAATTTTCTTTCATATTCTTGTTAGAAGCTATTTCACTAGAATAAGAGAATAATAAATATACAGAGAAAATGAGCTAGAACTTTGAGAAAAGTTCATTTTTCACAGAATTTTGGAACTCTTATATCAGAATACTTTATTATTATTATTACAGTTTAAGTAAATAAATTATGTAGGCCAAATAAAAAATCGATTCTCTGACATAACTGTCCAGTCCAAAATTGATTTTATACTGACTGACGTGATTATATAGATATGAATACAATTCAGATCATTTCTATTTAATTTAAACCAGATAAAATATTGGCTTAGATATTTAGGTATAATTAAAATGACGTAAACCTAACAAAATTTCTATTCTTGAAAAAGAATATAGAGGCTTTTATATTTTATTTATAATTTACATCGAAATCTAGAATTTCTGATCTGTTTTGATTAGTATTGTTTTTCTAGGTAAACGTTAAATCAGGTGATAAAACTATACAATAACGAGACGTTTGGTCAAAACAAAATTATCTACCGAATTATATATATTTATATAATTTAGTGATTGTTCAGTTTAGTACTATTTGTAATATATAGGTAACTTATATCTATTATTAGCTATTCATCTGTTTAATGTAGTCAGTCGGTGCTTAGAATTCTTATTTAGTTTTCTTAAATTTCATAATACATAAATTAACAAAATATTTACACAGGTGTTTAACAGTAAAAGGAATTATCTTGTAGAGAATATCACAGAAAATTTACTATATTTCTCTATTATTATGAATTGTTCATATCGTTTGCCTAAGATACAACATGAACTTTATTCGTTTTGTGCTTCCTAATTACAAAATTTATTTACTGTCCCTTTTTTTCTAATCTCTATCAGTTCCCTTTATATAAAGGACCATTTATGGCGTGTAATGGAAGCAAACCACATTTTCGAGGATATCCATGCGGTTTATGGACTTTATTTCATGCATTAACCGTAGAGCAGTACCTATTATCATCCTCTAGTCCAGGTTAATATTCCATCTACTTTTTTTTCTAAAGTTAATATTTATACTTACTATCATAAAAATTTATGCTTAGAAATCAGACTTTTTTTATTATCTTCATGTCGATTTTATCCAATTGTCTTATCTATATAAATTTAATGCATTCTATTTGCCCATGTTAAGTTTACCAAACCAGATAGTAAGCTAATAATTTGTACATGTAATTATTTGGTAGGTCCTTTAACTTTCAAAATACTATGGTAATGCAATTCACTTGGTAGATTCAACTGGTAGTCAAATATTTAGTATTAGAACTGGTTGTAGATCCTCTGAACTGTCCAAGTTAAAGTAGATAAAATGTATTTCAAGCTTTTATCTTTTTGCTTAAAAATCATTTCCTAAATTAGGTTATTTTCTTAAGCATATAAATTGATCTTTGGTCTTCAAGTTCACTACATTAATTTAAATATAAAGAGCAGTGTATAATTATTAGTTCTCACATAAAAGATATAACTTTTAACTTAACAACGCATTTTTTCTGTTCACTTGGTATACTCATAAAGTAGAAGCAGTGAAAGTTAACTAATAACAAGTATCTTCAATATTGTTTCTAACTAGTTTCAAATTACTTTTAGCTGAATGAAACTCTTATTAAAGGTATTGTATTCCGGTATTTAGGAAGATAATAATACTCTGAGATAAATCATCAAAAACTTTCTATAAATTTGGATAAAATAAGTGTTTTTGATAGGTTTGACGAAATATAAATATTTCTTAAATATACTATTCCCGTCTGAATAATTCATTCTTATCAAAATGCATATATTGAAATGCTCTTTATTTTTCTATTTTAGATCATCAAGTTGATTCAATCGCTCATGCTTTAGGTCGTTTCATCCCTCGATTCTTTTCATGTACATACTGTGCATTTCATTTTGCATTGAATACAGCAAATTTAGCAAGACCAGGGGAATCTATCTTACCGGAAAATCGTGTCACTCCTAATTCAAATGAATTTGTATTTGATGAATCAGTTATTCCTACTTTGCCTAAAGCTCCAGAGACTCCTAGAGATACTGTATTATGGTTGCATGCAATACATAATCGTGTAAATAAACGTTTAGCTGGCCAACCATCAGAAGATCCAACTGCACCTAAAATTCAATTTCCACCGTCTTATTTATGTCCTACCTGTTGGTCACATAGTTCAACAGGTGAATTGGAATTAGGTAAAACTCCAGAGACTGAAGAAACATTATTTCAATTTCTTGTTGAACGATATCGTGCATCATCTTGGAAGTATGTGGATTTACCTACAGTATTCATAACAAATGCTGTGTAAGTCTCATTGTGATTTTACTTTTTGTGATAATTCAACTACTTACTTTCATCATAATGCAAGATTATGAGACTTATACTCGAAAACGTACTGTTCAATGATGATTATTATTGTTTGACTTAGCATCTAATGCCATTGTCTAATAATGTGCACATCGCGTAACGCTACTTATTCAATGATTGACCATAGATTGCTCCTTAGGATTAATTTGAACTTCAAATTAAGTTTTACCGTGTTAATTAAAAGTTAAATTTAGAATAACATCTTATGATATTCAATACAATATTATTGACTGTTGAAATTGTTTGGTTTAGCGCTCATATTCGTAATTATCAAGATGGATCATGGAGTTCCATTATTTGTATAAATGAACAACTGTAATTTGATGATTGGTCAGTCTTGTTTTTCTAAAATGTAGCATAATAACGCCAGTATTTTAGTAATGAATATCCTATTTTACTTTCAAATGAGTTTTTAAGTTGTCCAGACTACTAATTTATTTTCATGCAAAGAGTAATGTTTTATTTGAAACAAGATAATTTACTTATTATATATATTCAACAGTCATTAAACTGTTTTATCAAGATTACTCAAGCTATTTATCATTACATATTAAAGTATATAAGCGAACAATATTGTTTTCGATTAGATCATCATCAGTCTTTACTCTAATATACAGTAATATTTATATGCATATACAAAATTATGTATATAAATATTACTGTATATTAAAGTAAAGCCTGATGAGGATCTAATCAAAAACAATATTGTTCGCTTATATATTTTGTTCTAAATCAAAATATGGGAATTTTTCAAATATTAAAGAAGTATGTTAGCTTTTTAGTATCGGTTACTTTTATCCAGACCCATCTATTTCGTTTGTTGTTATTCGTTATGCGATATATATAAAAATAATCAAACGTTATTCTAATATTATATGCGATTTATATATTTTCCTGTTAAACTTGAAAGTTAAGTCATAAATCAGACGAGATACTAAGACAGTGTTCTAAAATCTTTGAATACCGTTTAGTATTAGATACAATTTCAACACATTTTCGATAGTTTACTTATGACTCTTTTCATCTCTCACCAGTTTTTCAAATTTTGTTTGCTTAAAGCCACATTTTTCCTGATAATTAGCTACACAAACATGGTATTAGTACAAAACATTTTTCGGTTCCCTTTCCAAGTGTCATATAGCACTACTATATATGTCAAATTATTCCTGACCGTTGTTGCTACCTTGACGTGGTGGTCGGGCTTGCCTATCGTGATGAAGCAACTGAGCTATACTGGCTGGAACAACCGTTCCTCAAGGTCCTACCATGCCAGACAGGTCGGTTGAAGAGCGGTAAGACTAAAAGCAACAAAACCTAGGTCCGAAGGCGAAGTCGTACTGCTGACTGTACAGAGGTGTGACAGCAGTAAGGTATTTCCTTCAGACAACCAGCATAACAGCGATGCTGCCTTCCCAAAAGGAGGGAAGGGGTTAGAAAAGGTCGACCCTAAAAATGCACACCTCGCCTTATCCCACGGATATCCGTCTCCGGCGGTAAGGACTCAACAAGTACGGAGCTAACACAAAAATTACTCATAAAAAGGTCGTGTGTGACCGACCTCAAGCATCTGTCCCTTGGGCACTGCGGTCACGCTCTCAGGTCACTAAGACCACCTCTAATCCAATTTCCTTTTCAGGTACCTCCAGCAGAACCCTTCCACGGTGTGGGCAACCGGGAAGTGATAACCGCCCTCATACCTCTAACAGCACTCAAGACCACTGTATTCATACTGTCAAATTATTCGTATCGGAGGTCAACTTTGTGTCTATATTGTAAGGAATTAAACTGTGTTAATCTTATTAGTTAATAATAATATATCGCGGTAAACTTGTTATTTACTAAGTAGTTATTTTGAAATTGGAGTTTGTTCATTTAATATCGTTTTCTTAATAATAGTATACTTCTGAATTTTATCTGTGAAACTAAAGTGATGGCATAGTTTCATCTTTTAAGTTAACGTTAAGTGAACTGATGTTACCAATTGATAGATATATTGAAAATGTTTATCCCGATATCCTATAATCTGTAGTAGGCTATGGTTTGTGAGTTGAAGCGCTTAACTTCTAACCGCTGGGTACCAGATTCCAATCGCACTTTACTTACTTTGATTTAAGGGTCATTTCGCATCATTAGTCTTGAAACAATAATTGTGGCTTTAAGCCAGTTATCTATATACTTACTTCATAAATATGTTAACTGATTAATATCCATGTCAATTAATGAATATTACTTTTCTAAGTAAATATTGAAATAAAACAAGACTTATAAAATATAGATAACGGAAAACACAGCTTTTTAAATAATTCCTGAAAAAACATCCTATCTGTTTTCTGGCGTATATATTTGACCAATCTAACCAGAGATTTCTTATGTAATATGAGAAACTTCCATTTTATTTGTTCAGATGGTATAATCTCATTTATTGGTCTTCATTTTGTTTCGATGTTTATACTAGGCTACACACCGTGATCTTTTTAGTGAGAATTTCGAATGATCAATTAATTATTAGTCTAGTGCATGACTGAATATTTAGACTCAAGTAGTTGATTTATAATAACCAGTGTATGTATGTGTGTGATAAATATAACTTTATAAAGTCGATTATGCAAATTAATGCCCAAGTTGTCTATCATAGGCGTAAATTAATGTATTATTTATGTATTTATTTCTTATCAGGATACTTTAAGATAAAATTGACTCTCGTGATATCATGATCAACCCTGAAATAACACTTGTTGCGAACAAATAATATACTGTATTAAATTTTAAACTAGTTTAAGACAAAGTCAAACATAGAGAATATTTAGGCAAAATTCGGTTAGTGGTGTTTTTACTCCAAGTTGTTCATTTGTTAAAGATGATGAACTTTTAGATGCATATCTAGTTGACTACATTGATGTAGTATTTGTTACCAAAGGTTTCTGATATTTGTAAACCATTTCAGTAGTAATATATTCCAGTCTAGATAATTCTTTCATCTATCTTATTTCAGTATTACACCTTCTGTTGGGATAAAATAATCATCCAATACAGATTATTGTGTTAAAGCAGCACTTATTTGTTTCACTTGCACGGTTTATTTGCTTGACATGTGATGAACATTTGTAATCTTTTTTTGATAAGATAGTACATGAAATCGCACTTGTTGTTATTTTGTTTTATTATGATAGTACTTTATAACAAATTTTATTTTTCAGTTTATAATTACGGTTTATTTCAGCAGTTTGTGTTATCAGTCTGTTAACCTTTTGATTTTACTAACTGTTTAATGTCGAGAAGGTTTATAATTATTTCTGTTATGTTGTGTTTCCACATCTTCATTGTCCTTAGAGCATGATGAGCACGTCTATTCACTTATTTTTGCACATTATTTCACAGAATACTTTCAATTATTTTTTTTTCAAATTTAGATGTTAGTAACCTTAGTTTGTAGTTGTTTATTTAGAAGTTCATTTTACGGACCATTTTTAATCACGATTTCACATTAAAGGGAATCATTTTTGCATAGTTATTGGTAAACAAAATTTTCATAGGTTAATTTATTAGATATGTGAAGCTTTTGTCATGAAGATGAGTAATTACAGTCTAGAGGTTAAGTGCTCGTGAGCGAGGCTGATAGGTCCTGGGTTTGAATCTCGCGAGGAAGGATCGTGGATGCGCGCTTCTGAGGAGTCCTACATTAGGTCGAAACGGCCATCCAGTGCATCCAGGTTTTCCATGGTTGTCTAGCTTCAATTGACTCATGATCTCAACTATATAATTATGTTATGATCATTTTTCGTTATGATTCCATAGATACTACATTATTATGAGTTCAAATTCACTTGCTGCTTGAAAGTTTGGAATATTAGTGACTACTTCATTTTACCCAAGAAATATTGATTAGCATCTAGTCAAGTTTTATGACATGAACGCAAAAGCACCTGAATACACTAATTTAAACTATCATTTAAAGGCAATATGCAACATAGTAATCTTTGTAATACCAGAAATATCCCATAATGATTAATTTATCCAATGTCAAAAATTATATTATTCAAACATTTTCAGGTCGTGTCATGTATAGAGATCAGAAACTAACAGTATACTTGTAATACTTCACTTAGTTGTTTACCAACTTAGTATTCTCTAACTTTGGATATTAATGGGTTTTTGTAGTTGATTTATCAGTTTCTAGTTACATAATCATATTAGATTTCGACAACCATATTTATAGGGTGCTATTAAATGTTATTCAATCTATATAATAATTTCAATCATTAAGATCATGAGTCAGTTGACGCTAGACCACCATGGAAAACCTGGAAGCACTGGACGGCCGTTTCGTCCTATTGTGGGACTCCTCAGCAGTGCGCATCCACGACCTCGCCCCCTGCGAGATTCGAACCCAGGACCTACTGGTTTCGCGCGCGAGCACATAACCACTAGAACACTGAGCCGGCATCCAACAGTGTTCATGTCTAACTTCAACTAATCCACGAAATTGAGCGACACATCCACCATTGTCTTCAGTGAGTTTCTATCCCACAACAGACCTGGTTGAACTCCACTGGTCACTACTTCTCACTAGAACTCCAGGATATACCTCTTGAAGCCAGTCACTAGTGAGCATAATTTTATTTAAAATATTATATTTATTTGAAAAAAAGACTTACATTAACATATTTGTTTTTATGATTTTCCAAAATGACACTTGTTTGTTCATATTCATCTCAGATTTGATGAACATTGAAAATCATCTGACTATTTCTTCTAGTTATATTCATATTTGTAGCCTGATCAGTACTGGTTAATATCATTTTTTTATATTACTTAATGATGAAATTTCATTCATTAACTCTAAAGTGTGGCTGATATTTTACGATTGAGGATAGATTTCATAAATCAGTGGTCACAAGAAGAATATCTAGGGATACAATTTTTTGTTATCTGATTCT